TCACGGCCCACAGGTGGAGAACCACTGCTCTAGATAGACTTATTTTGCTAAATGATCGAACATATTCAGTTTGCACCAGCCAGGGGACTCTTCTCAGTTCAGGACACACAGGAATTAGAAGCCCGACACACTAGAGAATTTTTAGGAACATGTTTTCGGTGCTGCTCTGTGCCAGGATCTGCTTCACTTGCATAGAAAGGGTTAAGGGTCAAGCAAAGGTCTGTCACTAAACTCATCTGGGACACCTTGGAGAAAACTGTGTACATTTGCTCCCACGGCGATTGTTGTTCCTCTGTGGGATTATAGAGACTTTTCCCCAGCTTTGTCTCCACCCAAAGACATGCCAAACATTACAGGCTCTTTGCCAGCATCTGGTGGGAGGTCAGGTGCTTAGAGATATCCTCCTTGAAGGCAGTCAGTTGCCAGACTACTGTCTGGTCCCACCACAAGTAGGGACCACTCCCTGCTGTTAAGGACAATGGGCTACTTCTCTCAAAAGCCTTGCGGCCATCAGTCTGGTCCCTGTAGATGGGTTTACACCCTACTAATAATGGTTTCTATAGTGAGCCAGAGAACAGGTCAAACCAGCTTTGTGACAGCCAAAGTTAGGCTGCCATCCTGTATCTAGTATCCGCCCTTGTCACCTGTGTTCCCCCAATCCCTCCCCTTCCTATTGCATGTATATCCCTAGATTGTACCCCTCTCATTGCGGTATAACTATAGTGCAACCCCTTCCTGTGATGTATGTCTTTACCTGCAGTTAGTGGGCTTACACGCCCCCCAAAGATATAAAAGCCTTGGTTAGCAATAAAGATCTCTCTTTCTCTCTCTCTCCATGTGGACCACCAAGTGAGGCTGAGGTGAACATGCTACCATGAAATGTGTCTGACTCCATTATTTCAATCTCTTCTATCTCTCTGCTATCTATGACTTTACCATAGTCTTTACTTATTGTTGCTGCACAATTGCGCCTACTGGACCCGTGATGATGTGTTAGGGGCTGGTCTACCCTGACCTTGCTCGGTGCTGTTGACTTGGTCTGACTCATGCATAACAGACCACAGCCTGCCTGGTCTCGCCCGTCCGCACAATCAGTAGGTTGGAGCCCACTGTCGCAGTCACTCTCTCAGTGGATTGCTGACCATCACCTCCTTTTCAATGCTTTTCTCTTTTAGCAAACATGCTGCCCGTCCCCAGGGACAAGTTCTCCTGATAGCATGTCAAAAGTTGGTGAGATGAGCTTTCTCCATCTTCTTGTTCAAGGAATATTCTGGCTATATTTCCTCCAAGGCAGAGTTGCTCATTTTCTGACCATCCATGGAGCCCTGGGTACTCTTCTTGAGCACCGTAACCCAGATGCATCATTTCCTCTCCAGGCTTCCTTACTGACTGTATGCATATGAGGTGATTGAAAGGGCTATGGCTTGCATCAGGCACACCTTCGTCTGCAAGGTGACAGCTGTACTTTTAATATTTTCAAGAGGGCGTTGGCAGCAGGCTTACCAATGAAGTATGTCCTTTGACTTCTTGACTGCTACTCACTTGGTCATGTAACATGAAATGTAATGCCAACTTCACTTTTTTCTCCATTTATTCTGATGTTGTTCATTGGTCCAGTTAGAAGGATCTTTGTTTTATTTCTTTCTTTTTAATATCTTCATTTATTTATTTATTTTTCCTTTTTAAAAAAAATCATTTTATTAGGGGCTCATACAACTCTTATCACAATCCATACACACATCAATTGTGTAAAGCGCATCTGTACATTCATTGCCCTCATCAT